GTGAAATGTCATAACTATTAGATTGCCTCAGGAAGAATTTAGCTGGCTCAGTGGTTTTTCACCAATATGTGGTGTCTGGTCAGGACACAAAACGTTTCGATGAGTGTAAGGCATCAGGCATAATACATGCAGGCTTTAGTCCTATCCATGTATCTGCCATGATGCAGGTGTGTGTTTAGAATAGGATGCTAATTGTTAAGACTAATGTAATAAACAAGAAATAAATGTCATAATTGTAAAAACAGTAACACCATAAAAACAAAGCAACTAACTCGGAATAAAAGAGAATAACTAAATAAATACATCATTCAAAATAATGAGAAGTTTCCAGGTAGCTTAATTATTAAAATAAAAAGGTGCTCTAACTGCATAACAGTTTTTATAACAGATAACTGAACTTAACTCTCACAACAACCACATAGGGAGACAGTCTGCTGCACGGCCAAGGAACCTGTAGAACCTGCTGCTCTGGTGTTGCATGGTGATAGACTAGTGGTTAGGGCGCATCGCTCTCGCTGCTGTGGCACAGGTTCGAGTCAGGGTTGCATCAGGAAAGGCATCTGTCCTAAAACGAGTGCCTAATGTCAACATGCAAATCGTTGCTGTGACGACCCCTAAAAGCCAAAAGTGACATTCAGTGTTGTAGTCAAGTTCAGTAAAATGAGAGCAAGTCATGACCAGAACCAAGGCAGGGCGAGACAGTGTAAAGACCAAAACCAGATGAGTCCAACTCCCCCAGTGAATAACACAGTTATGATCAAATGTGGGACATTCAAACAGCACCCCTTAAATTGATCAGAATGATCTACTTTCCCATAAAAACACCCACAGAAAACAAATGAATATCCTTCTTCATTCACCGCTTTAATGTGTGTATGTATAAGCATACCATAAGAAATGTCTTGAGGTGAATTTAAAATGTAGGAATTTTGCTTTCCTTTCTATGAGCAAATATTTAGGAGCTTAAATGAACTTGACCAGGTTAATTCTACATTCCTGTTTTACTATTCATCTTACACAATACAATTTTTTTGCACACAAGAGATTTTTAGGGTGACTCTTGTTTTCCCCTAGAAACTATCAAGTATAGCTGAAAAAAACTTCTAGGTCAGAACTGATGAAGCCTCTTGGATGAGAGGTGAAATGTCTTCAACCTAGAAATCTAGTCCTGTTGATTTTTTCAGCTTACTATGACCTGGATGACTGAGAATCTGCACAGACATATCAAGTATAACACTTTCCAATTAGACATGAATCAAGTTGAGTTTGAAGCAGGAAGTTTTACATCTAGTCACAGTACTGGTGTTAACTGTTATAGTTTAGTCCCCCTCACCAGGAGGGTGAGGGAGAACTGAGGTAGGACTCAATGTGCAGACCCAGGTGCTAGTGAAAAAAGGTGATTTATTAAAGAGCACAAACAGAGTAACTGAGTCAAAGTATAGCACAATAACCAGGGTAGGGCAGGGATGGCTGAGGAGACTAGGACAAGCAGATGAGTAGGAGGATTGCAGGAAACAGGAAAGTAGAGGACCAGGACAAGGCAGGCGAGTAGACAGGAGAACGGCGACAGGTGAGATGACAGGAGGGACACAGGAACGAGAAGACAGGACTGGTGTAGTGCTCACTGAAGTGCTAGCCATCCGGCACCCATGGCTGGGAAAATCACTGTCAGGTACTCATGGCTAGAAAAGTTCACCAGACATTAACAAACAAAACAGACAAGCACAAGCACTTTCCCCACAGCTGTGGTCTTGACTGGTCTTGAAAATCCCAAGTCCTCTTTGTCTGAGGAGAAGACCTAGTAAAAATGTACTTGATGCATTTCCTAGATCAGTCTTGGTCTTGAGGCTGGTCTCAAGACCAAGACTTTTTTTTTTGAAGATCTAGGTCTCTATAACACTAAATTGGTTTGTTAAATGCAAATATTAAACTAGTCAGCATGTTAGCATTTTTACTGTGAACATGTTACCATGCTAGCATTAGCATTTAGCTAAAAGCATTAGCCTTGTTTCACATTAGTTACAAATGGTTAACCCCATTACAGTCATGTTAGTTGAAAAACTGCTGCAAAGTACTGCCCTTTTCCTTCTAATTGGAAAAATGTGAATAATAGTCATTGCTATGGTGAAATAAGAGGCAGAGTCATTGTCAGACAGTCGAACAAGACAAATGGGGAGGGTACAGTGGAGGGATCCAGCAAATGAAGGGGGGTGGGAATAAATTGAACTGCACTTTAGACCTACTGGTGGGTACCACTTGTGTGATAGTTAAGGGAAACTATCAGGAACTTTGCTGAAGTATTGTGGAAAAAGGCAGATGATGAGAGGGAGTTAGAACTAAGGTAATCAGTGCTGAAGAACCTTGGGGGGGTGAAGGTGGCAAGAAGAAGAGGAAGGCAAGGATCTCTGTAGAGGATAACCTTGACACTGTAAATGAAAAAGTGGGTGTCTGTGGTGTGATGTCAACTGAATTAAAAATGGAAGCAAAAGCATAAGATCAAAATGGAGAGAGAAAGATACTGAAGTGAGCGCAAAGACAGAGAGAAGAAGTTTTCTAAATTTCATTTAAAAATTATATAGTTCTATGTTTGCACCAGAAATAACTTGACAGAACAATGCAATAATTGGATGTGACATTGCAGAATGTGTAACAGGTAATGACAGACACTTGCTGTATGTCTTCACTGTAAAGTGGAAACATTTTGTGAAGGTGTTGCACTGTATTTCAGCTGAATGCATGACTGTTCATCAAGCTTGTCTTTGAAGACTAGAGACAATAATGGAAAACAAAGGCTTTCCCAAATGTTTTATTGTGCAACCTCTGGGCAGGATATTGAGAATAATTTCATCAGACTGGATTTAAAAAATACTTAAATTCATAGACTTTCTGCAGCTACATGGGATGTGATGAGTATAGGCACAAAAGCCTTTTTTGTCAGTGTAATGCATTCTCTACCGCTCTGTTGACATTCAAGCCTAAGGCAATGTTTAGTCGTTTCATTAAAATGGAACACAAATGGATAGCTGTATAGTTTTTGCTTCATTAGACCCAAACTCTACTGCTGCCTTTTTACTTTGTGCTAAAAATCATGCAGTCCCACCAGAAACTTAATTGTAGTGTATGTGTGATTACTCTTGTAGCAAATATATGAATAAATGATATCAAAATGCATGAGAGTGAGATTAATTACTCAGTTATTTTATCTTTGTTTTTTTCCTCTTCATTATCTCCCTTTGGATGCTGAGAGCATTGAATTTCTTACAGATGTTTCTCTTAAGTTGCACATAACAAGAATAGGAAATACTTTGTCAAACCTTAGTAAATGCATTTAACCATTGGTAATGCATCCAAAAATACTAGGCTACAATTGATGACAATTAATGTTAATGTGTCATGTCAAGGGAGTCACTTAAAGCAAGAGAATATTAGCAAAGAACTCTGCAGCTACCTATAGTAATGCAAAGCTTTTTAGCTTGTTTTAGCTCATTGTTTTGGTTTTACAATACAATGATTGTTTGGTTGGTTCTCATCACTCTTATCCCTTATTTACAGGTGTTTTCAGTGGAAAAGGTCCTCACAACCACACAACCTGGCAAACATAGTGCACAGATAGTGTTACTGGAAAACAAAGAAGAGTATTTAA